AGGAATGGCCTGTTTGTTTTGCCAGCTCCATGTCGCTCCCTGGGGCGGGGGCTGGAGGAAATGGCCATTTTCTGCCTGGGCGGGCGGGTGGACAGCAGGGGCGAGCAGGGCACCAGGGGTAGGGATGTGGCAGGACCCTGGCTCATCCTGGCCCTGCATAGATGCCCACAGCCTTGCCCTGTTCTGTGCCTCAGTCTCCCCTCTGGCATCAGGGTGAGTGACACTGTGATTTTCTGACTCTTCCCATAGCAGCTCTCTCCAGCTGGGTCACTCACCCCTGCCCCTTGCCACTGGGTAGGGTGGGCTCAGGTGTCAGCTGCCACCAGGTGGGGGGTCCCCCTATCTGAAATCCAAGATGCTTGATGCTGGCTGTTCTTATAAACCATGGGGGGAGGCTCTGGGGCTAGGTCCAGGCCATAGGCCAACTGTTGATTGGGGTTGGGGTGGGAGCTGTGAGGAGGTCTGAAAGGGCCTGGGCACCGATTTGGAGACTTCCAGTCTTAAAATCAGAGCAGGGGACAGTTGGGGCCAAATTAAACAGGTAGTAGCACGTGTAGAATGAAAGGGGGTGACATCCTGTACCAAGAGGCTGGTGTCCAGACCCCGGGACAGTGTCCTCAGCACCTGCACAATGACCCTCGCTGCGTCCAGGATATGATGTAGAGGTATGCGTATATGTGTGTATAGGTATACATGGCACGCATAATTTGCTGACACCACGCTAGGGGCTCTACAATCATTTTATCACTTCTCACCACACCTACAAGGCTCCGGGGAGTCAAACTGGGATATGTCTTTTACCACTGCAGCCTCAGACCTCTGCCCTGGTCCTTGTTGCAGAACACAGTCACCCCACACTCCCCTGATCCTGGGCTAGCATGGAGTGTTGTGGCACAGTCTGCAGCATTGAGGCCGGGGCAGAGACACTGAGTGTCTGAAGGCACCTCCATCCCCAGGAAGCAAAGCCAGATACCCAATTCTGCAGTCAGAAAAAAGCCCGTTAAATTCCGTCCCTGCAGCCCCGTGTCCCACCACCCTCAGGGGAGAAGGGTCGCCTCACTCTCCCCGGGGCACTGTGTTTGCTTACCTTCCAGGCAGCTCTGATGTTGCATAGCTCTTTTTCATTTAGGAACAGTGACTTCCTGGCCGGGCACGGTGGCTCAAGCCTGTAATCCCAGCACTTTGGGAGGCCGAGACGGGCGGATCACGAGGTCAGGAGATCGAGACCAGCCTGGCTAACACGGTGAAACCCCGTCTCTACTAAAAATACAAAAAACTAGCCGGGTGAGGTGGTGGGCGCCTATAGTCCCAGCTATTTGGGAGGCTGAGGCAGGTGAATGGCGTAAACCTGGGAGGCAGAGCTTGTAGTGAGCTGAGATCCGGCCACTGCACTCCAGCCTGGGTGACAGAGCGAGACTCTGTCTCAAAAAAAAAAAAAAAAAAAAAAGGAACAGTGACTTCCTTCCCAAAATTTCCTCCCTTAGACCTGGGCTGCTTCCTCTGACCCTGCACAGCCCCTCAGACGTTTGCAGGGTATCAACCTATTTTATCTCCCTAACCTAAAGCATACTCTGTCCTGAATTAAGACTCTGGCTGGTTGTAGCCAACTTTAGGAAAGAACTTAATTACAAAAATTCACTCTAAGTGTGGGAGTGACTAAGACTCATCATGTCTTGAATGTGCAGAGACGGATGGGAGGGGGGTTAGTGACATTGAGGCCACATGAGGGACTCTCCTGAACACCAAGTTGAAGGGTTCTGGAGTTGGGAGGCTAGTGAACTAGTCCCACCAGTGCAGGGCTGACGGCCTTGTGTCCAGAGACCCCCAAGCCCAGCCTGTTCCTTGAGCCCAGGGCTGCCGTGCATCTGCCCAGCCTCTAGCTCACGAGGGCTGGCTTAGCGGGATTCACGTGCCACCCCCTCGGTGACATCTGAGACCATGCACGTCTTGGTTGCGCCTTGTTGCTCCCTGCTGCTCTACACATGTGACCGGCTGGTCTTTTTGGGGGTTACCTTCCCTGGCCCCCAAAGCCCTGGTGACCCTGAGCCTGACCCAGAGGGAACAATGACACAACAGCAAATGCCCTGGGGCGAGTACCACCCTGACAGCCCCAAGGAACAGACATAATCAGCAGAGTGCTGGGCCCAGCAGGTGCAAGGGGAGCAGGCTGGCTTATCTGGAGGTGGGGACAGGGCACAGGGCCGGGAGGGAGGGGACAGGTGGCCAAGGGCTCTGTCAACATGGGAGCCACATGGGGGTGCGGATGGGCACTGCAGGGAGGGGCCCTGGTCATGGGGTCCACAGCAGAGCCAAGCCAGCCCAGAGGATCCAGGGATGGCCCAGGTGCTCCTGCCCCACCTGTTCCAGGCCAGCTCTGTCGTGGGGATTGCGTTGGCTTCTCCAGGCTGGGACCTCCACTGCAGTGGGTACCTTGGACACTCAGACCAACCCCAGGGCCTGGGAGTTCCTGGCGAAGCCCAAGACAGCCCAGCGCCCGTCCACACCCCCACCCAGGATGGGGTGGCCGCTGGGTCACTTGGTCCTGGCAAACATGCTGGATGGAGGAGCTGGACTGGCTTTAGGGCACCGGCGAAAGCTCACATCCATCTGTCTGTCCACCCAGCACAGCTGGTGCCAATCTCCCATTTAGCAGGATGGGGCAGCCGGCACCTCCATACTGCGCATGCCCCTCCCGTCTCCCAGGGCATCCACACAGGAGCCACATGTGTCCTGGACCCATACCCCCCGCACTGTCCCTCTGTTCCCTGAGCTGGGCTGGTAGGGAAAGCTGAGGGGTCCAGGGATGGCCAGGGTCTCCTCCCTCCCCACTGCACCCCCAGCCCCATTGGCATTACCTCAGAGCAGACAACAGCTTAGTGGGGACCCAAGTGAGGGGGCATCAGTGGCCCAGGCCCTGCCCAGTCACTCAGGCAGTTAAGAGAGCAGGAAGGGCCCAGATGACACCCCCACAGACACATGCCAGCCCCTCCTGGCGACAGAAATCATCCCAGTAAAGGCAGATGAGGCCAAGCGAAAAGGGGTGGGTGGAAGAACCAGCTCCGAGTCTCAGCCCACAGACACTCATCGGCCCGGTAGGCAGGGGTTCCTGGCGGCCTCAGGCTGTCAGGCCCGGCCCCCTCCCGCAGCTGTCTCCAGCTCCCACCTCCCCCGCCCACCCCCCAGGACTCCTATTTCACTGAGGAGATTAAGACCACCTGGCGAGAACCCCCCCCACCCCTCCCCTCTCCCCAGCCCTCCCTCCTAACCCTTGAGGTGCCCTCCTGGCCCCGGCCCGCCTCTCCCACCCCCACGTTCCTCCACAGCAGCCTCCACGCCCTGCCCTGCCCTGCCACAGGCCTGAGGATGTCACCACCCGCTGTGATGGCCACCTCAGGTCACCTCCCCTCAGCCCATACCCTGGCCTAGCCCCCACCCTGAGCCTCCAGTCCCTCCAATCCTCACCCTCCATGTCCCCCAGCCCTGCATCGGTACAGGCATCGTCACCAGCCACGGCAGTGGATCCCGTCCACCTCCCACCCGGCCACTCCAGACCCAAATTCAGCACTGACTGCAGCCTCCTGCCATCCTTGCTGGGTCTCAGGAGGGAACCGGGGCAGCCAGGTGCTCTCTGGGACTGTAGGCTCCGAGCCCGGTCCCTGTTCAGGTCCAGCAGCCAGTGGGCCAGGGGGTGCTCAGCTGAGGCCCCCCACTCCATCCAGCCTGCCGTGGGGCAGCCGGCCTGGCCTGATGCTGGCTCAGACAGACCCATGAGGAATCTGAGCTCTGAAAACCGCAGCTCTGAGCTTGCCTGTTTGTTTGCTTTTGAGAAATTCCAACCTGGTTCAGCAGAGCCTTGGAGGAGGGAAGGGATTTGTCAAGGCTGGGGTGGGGCTGGGGCAGGCATATGGATGTGGGGAAACCAAGGCTGAATCTGGGCATATGGACCCAGTGGGGAAGCCAGAGGAGGGTGCCTAACTGGGCCTCCTGGGGGGTCCAGCTTGGATGCCCCCTCCCCAAATCTCACGCCAGGCCTGGAGGCTCCACAGGGGCTATGGAGGCAATAGCCCCCCTACTCACAGTGCTGGGAGGACCTGCGGGGCTGGGAGGGGCCCAAGGAGGCCCTGCAGCAACAATGGTGACATCAACAGGGGAGCTGCAATTGAGGGCCCACATGGGATGGCTCCATCCACCCATGGGGCCTGCAGCATTCTCCCCACTTCTCAGACAACATCGCTAAGGCTTGTAGAGGCCAGGGCATGTTCCCAGACAGACAGCCCTGAAGGGTGAGTCTCGCTCCTGGACCCAGCTCCTGAGACTGGGTGACATCACCACCCTGGCTCCTCCCTGCGCAGAAGGGCCCAGAGTACAGGGGTCCTGCCGAAGGAGTCCTGTTCTCCTTTGAAATGAAATATTCCCAGCCTTCTCACCAGCTCCTTCCCCTGGGCAGGTGGGAGACCAGACAGGGTTGGCAGCCCCCAGCCCTGCATTGCCACCCCTACTAGGGAAAGTTGCCTGTGCTCCCAACTTCTCCAGGCCCCGATCCCCCTCTGCCTGTGGGCTTGGGGATCCTCCACAGGTCTCAGCAAAGGAGTTCCCATGCTAGAGCCTCGCCCACTGGGGACACTCCCCAAAGCCTGCCCCAGCCTGGGCAGCCCACCTGCCTTTGGCCCCAGGTCTGTGAGGGCTCCTCAGGTCAGCCCCCACAGGCACAGGGGGAGATACGAGCAGGGTCTGCCCAGAGCAGTGGGCAGCGAGGCTCGAATGCCAGCCTGGGCACCTGGGCCCAGTCCTGGCCTAGCAGGGACAATCCAGCAGCCTTGGGGACTTGGCCAGGGAGCAGAGTGGATGGAGAGGCACAGGGTGTGGGGCCAGTCCTCCCCTGCACTGAGATGGGATTTCCACACAGTCTCTCCCAGCAGTCACCCAGCAGTCACTGTCACAGTGACAGTATAGACCCCTTGAATCAATTGAGCATTTAATGAAAACTGCAAGTGTGATATATTTGATTACTTTAAATGCTTAGAGCATCTTTAAAGAGAGATACGACATATCCAATGTTTATGGGGGCATGGCCTCGTTAGGACCCATTAACAAAGGTGCTGAGGTCACCGGCTTAGCTGTCATTCCTCATTGCCTCTGGCCCTGTCCCCAGAGCCTTCCTTCTCAGAGCTTCCCGGGGCTCATTCACCACCAAGCAGGATTCAGGGTTGGGGACTGAGCATGGAAAGTGGCCTCCCAGGGAGTTCCACCCAGAAGGTTCCCTGTAGAGCGATCTTGTCTTGAGAGTCTCTTCCAGTATCAATGTCCAAGGAAGCAGCCTGGCCTGTCAAACACCATCATCGAGTACATCCCCTTCACGAATGACCCAGCAGGAGAGGCCTGAAATATTGCACTCCTCCTTCCTCACGCAGCAGCAAGCTTCCACAGTGCTTCGCCCAACTCAAGTCAACCCAAGGCGCATGTGAGCATCATCATTATTACAGAAGGATTACAGCGGTCACTGTGAGTGACAAGCCTGCACATGTGTGTGCCTGTATGTATGTCTGCTACACATGCCGGTGCATGCACACTCTCCCACACTGGTGTCTGTGTTGGTGTTTGCTATGTGCATGTGTGTGTCCATGCTCACGTGTGTCTGTGTATGTACAGAGGTGCATGCATGCCCGTGCTCACGTTTGTGTACATGGAGAGTGCCCACGTGTCTGCAGGCATACAGTGTGCGTGTGTGCGTCTGGGCCCAGTCCATGTGTCTGCATGCAGTGTGCCTGTGTGTGCCCATGCTCACGTCTGTGTCCGTTGTGTGCATGTGGACACATGTACCCACGGTCAAATATTGATATGCTCACATGTGTAGGCATATGTGCCCACACTCCCATGTATGTGTGCCTGAGTAGGAACATGGTGTGAACACACACATGCACTCATGCCCATGCTCGTGAGTGTGTGTGCACGTGGTGGTGTGGGTCCTTGAACATGGACAAGTGGGAGCTATTGTCCAGTCAGGGTTCCCTGCTGCCCAGAGGAACTGGAGGGGCGTGTCTGCACGTGTCCATCTTCTGGCCACTCACCCTCAGCCAACACTCCTCCAGGGTCTTTTGGGACAAGTCCCTTCCCCTGGCAAGTGTGGCTCCCCCTGCTGGGGCCACAGAGGGGAAGGGGGCTAGCAGGGACTGGTTCCTCAGCTGGCCCCCCAGGCTGAGATCCAGCCACCTCAGCAGCCTGCATACAGGTCATCCAGGGTCTCAGAACCTCACCTCTGCCTGGCTGCACCTGGGGTGGAGGGGCTAGTGTGGCCAGGAGATGGACAGACAGATGGACAGCCAGCTCCCCATGTGGCTGGGTCCTCCCACCAAGTGGGCAGCTAAATCAACAGCCTCAGAAATTGGAGAGGGGTCCAGGGCTGGGCTGTCCATCAGTCTGTCTGTTTGTTTGTTTGTTCTGGAGTTGTGGGAACTTCCAGTCTGCAGGGAGTCCTGGTGCCTGGCGAGGTCGGGGGACAGAGGGTGCCATCACCCATCCGGCCCAGCCATCCCTCTCATCATCTCCCCACATCTGTCCTCCTGGGAACTTGGCCCAGAACACTGCACCCATAATTGCAGGGGGACAGCTAGGCCTGGTGACAGGAGGTTGGGGGTCAGCTGTATGCGGCTGGCTGTGCAGACCCTGACCTGTCCCCTCCCAGCTGGGAGGAGGCTAGTGTCACAGGGCTGTGTGCCTCCCTGTTCAGTCTTCTCTCCACCCGTTACCCCCTCCCATGTCTGCCTCTCTCAGGGTCTCGCTGTTCTCTTTGTCCATCCTGTAGTCATTTGTCCCCTAGGGTCCAGGCACTAGGACTCTGAAGTGGGTCAGACCCTGCTCTGGAACCAGGGAGCAGGTGGCGTTGGGGCCTAGGAAGAGTCCCAGGGAATGCCCTTTGCGGGGTGAGAGGGCCACATCTCCTATCATCCTGTCCAGTGTCCTCCCAGCCACAAAGTGTGCACACCAGGCTGTGTCTAACTCCCAGGCCTTTGCCAGCTATGTGGTCAGCTGCCTGACCAGGCTCACAGGGACACCGCCTCCAAGCCCTGGGCCCCTTCCTGGGAACCTGGCTGCGGGCCTGGAGCTCCTGGGCAGGGTTCCTGTCTGCTGTCTGGCACACCCCGCAGAGCTTGGAACCAGCCACAGTAACCCACCACCCTAGCAGTTTGAGTAAAGGCCCAATGCCGAGGACACGTGGGGATGGGCTTGGTGGGGACTTCCGTGTCAGGAGGCGGGCACTAGGGAGGAGAGGAGCCCAGGGAGGGCAAGGTCAAGGAGCAGTGGGGCCACCTAAGCCACAGGTTGGGGAGGACTCCCATGGAGACCCCAGGCTGGGTAACAGGAACAGCCTCCTTCCTCATCGTAGGCAGTGTCTGCGGTGGCACAGGAGATCTGGCAGTGGACCCAAACGCGCCCTGCCCTGGCAGGCAGGGTAGGAAACTGCTTCTGTCTCCAGCCCTCCCTGGACTCCCTGGAGGCAGACCTGGCCCCCGTTCTGGCTCTGGCTTGGGCCACTCCACTCCAGGAGTCCCCACAGCCCCCCAGTTCTAACTCAGCACCCTCCGCAGGGGCTGCAAGCCCACTGCCTATGCACTGGGGCAGACAGCACTCCTGCCAGCGCCTCCGCATGCAGGACTGAATGTCCGACCCCGGTTTTGATGCAGACCGCCGAGCCCGTGCCTGCTCCCGCTCCTGCTCCCGCTCCTGCTCCTGCTCCTCCCCCGCTATCCCTGCCCGAGGTTCTTCTCCCCACTCCGTGGCTCCGAGGCTGGGATGTGACTAAGGATCCGCGGCCACAGGTCAGCGGCCCCGTGGGCAACCCTGGCATGTGGCCCCACCAGCCTGCCTCCCAGGTTTGGGGTCTTGGCTCGTCCACGCCCACTAGGGTCACCCGCAGTGTCGCGTTTGCCAGTGTTGTGGGCCAAGCACTTTCGTGGGATAGAGGGACGATCGGGGAGTGCCAAGGCTGCTGTGTTGGCGCCTGTGGCCGAGGGCTGGGAGTCAAGAGGTGGGAGTGCAGCCGGGAGGAGAGGGCAGAGCCTCTGGGCGCGCGGGCCTGTCCCGGCTCCGGCGAAGTTTGGGCCCCCAGCTGCCTGCCCTTCTCTGGGGCCCTGGGGCGGAGCGACTGATGGCGGCAGGGAGGATGGTGAGGGCAGCTCCTGGCGGTGGGCTTTCCTCGAGACCCCCGAGGCGGTGTCCAAGCAGGCGCTGTAAGCAATTCCAGGCGGTCCATCCTGAAACGAATCAGCAGGGTCAAGTAAAGCCCGGCTCCTCAGTGCTTCCCTTTGCACGGTGGGGGTTGCGGGGGAGCCGGATTCTGCTCTCTCCATGCTCTGAGGCCTAGAGGAGGAGTCCCCAGCGGACTTCGAACCTCCGACCGGTCCCTTCTTTGTGTATATTTGCCCCAAGTGGTCTGGGACCAATGCTGGGAGCGCAACTTGCCTGGGAAACCCAGCTCAGCCCAAAGATCCTGGTATACTGTCTGCCCACCAGGGACGCACGGGGGCTGCAGGAGGGTGTGCGGCAACCCAGCCGCACTCAGAATTCTGAGCGGTGGGGAGGTACTGTGCCTTTATGGACAGGAGGTGGGGAAGGGGGTCCTGCTGGGTGGGCCTGACGGAGCCTGTCTGGAGGCTCCCCTGAGGGAGCCACGTGTGCCCAGGGGAGGCGGAACTGGGCGGACAGATGGGCGGCCACAATTCTCCAGAGGCAGCCTACCTGCGCTGGGGAAAACACTTCTGGAATTAGGGCTTGCTTCACCCACAACTACGAAGACGGGGGTGGGGGGCCAGTCTCAGCACACTAGACTCCCTTGGGGCAGCGCTGAGGTGCAGCCCAGACAGCAAAGGCCGCCGCGTGTCCTGGGTCTCATCCATCCCTCCAGCCTCCTGCACTCAGCCAAACCTCTGCTCCCCACCCCTTACCTATCCCCCGCGACTGGAAGCCAAACCTCGGTTTTCCGGGCTGTAAAATGGTATCATAGCTCCCACCTCGCACCCTGCTCTGGGAGAAATGGGGGTCTTGTCTTCACTGTTCATGGCATGCAGAGCAGACGTCTCAGCCCAGGCCCTAGCCTTGCATCGAGCCCCGAGGAATCAGACCCGGCGACCCTCACCCGCGCCTCACCTTCCTGATCCACGCAAGGGAGCTCCCAGTCAGGCCTCCTATCGCACCGCAGTGGAGGTGCGGCCGGCAGGGGGAGCGAGGAGGAAGGGAACCGCGGCCGGGCCAGGTGAGGGTGGAACACTTGCCGCGGGCCGTGCCGAGGCGCTGCGTTCGCGTGCGGAACCCGCATGTGCGGGGCTAGGGCCACCCGACCGGTGCTCTCCCTCCGGGCTGCGGGAGGGCACGGCGGGTGGGGTGGTGGCAGGTGAAGAGGGAGGATGGGTGGCGGGGCCGCGGAGCGCAGCGGGGTGGTGCCCTAGGCGGGAGGGAGTATCGGAGGAGCCCTATCTCGCTGGGCGGTGGAGGCGGCGGCTCCGGCTGGAGGCTCAGACGGCCTCGCGCTTCGAGGGCTTCCGGACCCCTTTAGCCGAGGGCTCCCGAGGGTCCCAGCGTTGAGCAGCGGTGTCTGGGGGTCCGAAATCGAGCGAGTGAGTATAGGCAGCCGGCGGGGCAGGGTCGGCGACGGAGCTGGGCTGGGTGGGGCCCCGCACCTCTTGCCGTCGCCCTTCTGGTTGACCAGAGTTTCCTCCACCCTGACGGCCTCTTCTCTGCTGTGTGGCGCTGGCCGCCCCTGCCTGCCTTCAGGTCCTGCTCAGGCACTAAGGGGTTAATGGGGGCTGGAAGGACTCTGCTCCTCCCTACATACCTCAGGCGCAGAGGTCTGGGGACCTCTAGACCGATCCTTGAGGGGCTGATCCAGAGCCTCCAGGAGGCCCCAGGGTTTTTCACTTTCACTTCTCTGTCCTCAGTGTTCGCCTCACCCACAGGCCCCACATCTGGCCACTGCCCTGAGGTGTGTGCAGATGTGCACAGCACACAAGCTTGGGCACACCCACAGGCTGGGGCACATGCAGGAGTCCCACCCCCATACCCTCACCGACCAACCCAGGCCTCTCTGGGTGCAGACCGCCAACATAGGCATGTCTCCTGCAACACTACCAAATCTGTGGCCACCAGCATCCTTCCCACCTGCCTCCAGCAAGACTGTCGCTTCCCGCAGGAGCGGCTCCTGGGGGCAATGACTGGTCCTGCTCAGAGAAGAGGGAAAGGGGCCTGGAACCAACTGGTCCATCCCCACACAGCACTCCTCACTGGACCTGTCCCTGGGTCCCCTCAGTGACACTGAGAGACACAAGTCACTGTCACTGTCATGGCCCAGAATGACTACTACTCAGGGCAAGAGAAATGCACTGGGGACAGCTTCCCTTTTCTGACATGGCCCACAAAGCTCCAGCTGCAGGTGGCAGGGGCTGCGAGGGGCAGGACCTGGGGCACCCCATACAGGCAGTGACACACACCACATCCCAGACAGGCAGCACTATTCGTATACTCACCCGCTGTGGCCCTGGACTCACATGCATTCCTGGACCTCAGTCCCAGGGCCAGCCTCCCTACTGGCACCCAGTCCCCCAGCCCCAGTTACCGGGCCTTCCCAGTTCCCAGCCAGCATCCTCTGCAGCCCAGGGTCTGAGGCCCTGAGATCCTAAAAAATCTGGGAGAGGCTGCCTGCCTCTCACTTGCATCCCAAGCACACGAAAGTGAAGGCTACACTTGATGAGGTTGTATACAGACAGGCCTTGCAAACCGTGGCCCTGACCACCAGCACTAGCTCCAGCAAGGCACAGAGATTCCAGGGTTCACACCCAGCTGGAGAGACCCTGGACAGGAAAGCCATGGGTGCGCTGAACTGGTCAGAGGAGACCCCGGATACAGTAGGTGGGGGAACGCACAGGCCAAGTCAGGCCTTGGCATATGGGATGCCTGGGCCTAGAAACCAGGCTGAGGGGCGGGCCTTGGCCTCACTCTGCCCAGCCTGGTCGCGCCACAGAACTTCTCCCGAAAGGCAGGCTGGCTGCTGGGTGCCGAGGGGCAGCATCAGATCCAGTGGCCTGAAGTTCTCCAACATGTCCTCGTGTCCTCGGCTTCCTCGGCTGGCCAGGCCCCGCCCCCGGCCCTCCCTGCACCCGGCCGGTGCGCAGGGAGGTCGGAGGAGCGGGCACTGCCCACCCTCCGGATGTATAAGCGTCCTGGCCAGAGGCGGGCGGTGCGCGCAAGTGCGCGTGACGCTTGGGCTCCTGGGCTGCGCAGCCTGGGCAGCGTCCCTCCGCTGGGGTCTCCAGCGACGATAGTGAGCCAACTTCAGGGGGCTGTTGGGCATTTACTGGGTTGGGTCCTATCCTGTTGCGCCGAGGAACAGAGGACGCTGTGGCCCTGGGGCTCCTGCCAGTGGCCGGTGCGAGAGCCCAAGCTGCCCTCTCCTCACCCAGGTGCAGGGGCAGCCAGGGAGGAGGTGGAGGCGGGAGGGGCCAAGGGCAGGGGCAGGGCTGGGCCCCGGCAGCCACTGGGTGCTTCATGGGTGCCCTGCCACCTCGGGCTAGGGCTGGGTGCTGCTGGTATAGACACCTCTCCTCGGGGGGCTGTAGAAGCTGATGGTGGCTTCGCTGTACAGAGGAAAGCCGTGCCTTTGCAGGAGCAACGGGATGTTCAAGGGGCGTTGGTCATGGAGGTCCCTGGGAACGCACGAAAGGGGCAGGGAGCTTGGAAAGCAGGAGGGCCCTGTACTTCCAGGGTGCTCCACCCGTTTGGGCCCCTCGGCTGCTACCAGCCCCAAGTGGGGGGCCCATGACGCCATAATCCTCTGGGCCAGGGGCCCCCGGCTGTGAGTGGCACCACAGGCCCCCGCCCCCGGGCTTCGTGGGCTGGGCTGGGCGCGGTGAGGCTGGGCACACGCAGTGGAAGGCGGCGCCGGCCAGGCCGCCGGGCGCCTATGGACGCGCGGAGCCCGCTGTCTCCCCGGGCCAGTGCGTTCAGCATCGCCTCTCTCGTTGCAGCCCAGGCAGCGGAGCGCACCGCCCACCAGGGCTCGGGGTCCTCCGACCGGGTGAAGCTTCGCTGGCTGCCAGGGTCCCCGACCGGGATGCACTTCAGCACGGTCACCAGAGACATGGAAGGTGAGCCTCTAGGCCGTGTCTACACTGGCCCGCCCGCCAGACCCCCTGCCTCAGCTGCTATGGGGGCCCGCGTGAAGAGTAGGTGGAGGAAGCTCTTGGTAGGGTGGGCTCCAGGCTTCTGGCTGCGACTCTGGGGCAGAGAGGAAGAGCCAGCATCCCGCCCAAAGCCTGTCCCCTCACCAGCCTGGGGGCCCAGCTTTGGAGATGGGCACGCAGGTAAACACAGGCCCAGAAGAGGGCAAGTGAGGCTGGGAAGAAGAGCAGAGGTGGCCGTGGGCTTGGAGAGAGGGGAGGAAAGTTAGTAAGAGAGGAGAGTGCAGAAGAGTTTCACAGAAGGAGAGAAAGCCACGAGGAAGCCGAGGAGACGAAATTGAGCAAAGGGGAGAAAACACAAAAAACCCGAAGAAGAAGGTAGGAGAGAAACAGAAAGACACGAAAAGGCAATAAAAAGCAAGAGCGAAAGAGAAGAGAGAAAATGAAGGGAAAATTTAAGACAGAAAGCAAAGTCATAAAAAAGAAAAAAAGGAAAGACTTTAGTTGTTTTTTTTTTTAAAAAAAAAAACATAAAAAACAAAGAACATACAGAAATAAGAGGAAAGGCGCCGACTAAAAGAAAGACAAAGAATGATTAAAAATAAAGTGAAAAGGAAGGCGAGGATGGAGAAAAACGGGAAGAGGCGGAAAGTAAAACAGAAATAAAGAGAAACTACTGAGATAGGGGAAGAAGGAAAGATGATCGGGAGGGAAAATTTAAATGAGGACGACAAAGGTAAAATAACAAATTAGGAAAAGAACGTCTGGGAGAGAGAGAGGAGAAACGCACGCGGGCGGGCGGCAGAGCGAGGGCCGGCCGACGGGCCCGGCGCATCGGTGAGCCGGTCCGGGCGGTCGGGGGGCCCCGGGCCGAGCGAGCCGCGGCGGGCGGGCTGGGGGCCGGGGAGGGGGAAGGGGCGGGGGAGGGGGGCGAGGGCCGGGGAAGGGAGCGAGGCATTGTCCTCGGCGCGGCGGGGTGGGGGGGCCGGGCGGGCGGGGCGGGGGCGCTCCTCGGGGCCCGCCTGCGGTGTGTGGGCTGCCGCGGCCCGGGGCGCACGCAGCGCGCGCCCGCCACTCGGCCCGCGGCGCGGGGCAGCGCTCAGCTCGTGGCGGCGGGGCGGCGGCGGCGGGGCGGGGCCCCGCGGGTCATGATCTCCGCCGTGTCCAGGCCCGTGGCTCACGCAGCTCTCGCACTTCTGCGACGTTGCAGCCTTCACGGCAGCAGCCTGAGCAGCCTGGGGCCGCGGGGGCTTCCCGGGCCCGCGTCGCCCGGCGCCGACCGTACGCCCGCGCGAGCCCCCGCCGCGCCGCCGCGTTACGACCCGTGCGCCGCCGCCGCCCCGGCGCCCCGGGCCCGCCCAGCCGCACGCCTACCCGTTTGCGCCGGCCGCCGGGGCCGCCACTAGCGCTGCCGCCGAGCCCGAGGGCCCCGGGGCCAGCTGCGCGGCCGCAGCCAAGGCTCCGGTGAAGAAGAACGCGAAGGTGGCCGGTGTGAGCGTGCAGCTGGAGATGAAGGCACTGTGGGACGAGTTCAACCAGCTGGGCACCGAGATGATCGTCACCAAGGCCGGCAGGTCAGGGCGCCCCTCCCCACGCCGCGACCCTCCCCACGTGCTGCAGCCAGGGCCGCGGGCCTCCGCCGGATCCGCGAGAGCGGGGCCGAAAGCCGGGTCGGGGGCGCGGCCCGGCCACCTGCGGGCCCCTCTGGGCCCCGCTGCCTCCCTCGCTGTCCGCCGTCCCGGCTCCGGCGACAGCCGCCCAGCGCTCCCCTCCTAACACTCACCTATCCTCCGCCGGGGCGGGAGGAGACGGCGCGGGCCACACGGGAACCGGCGAGGAGCCCCGCGGGACTCGCCCGCCCGCCCCGCCGGCGGCCCCAGGACGCCGCGCGGCCCAGAAACCGGCCCAGCTTGGAACGCACCCGGCTGGGGACAGGCAGCGACGTCCAGGGGACCTCGCCGCCGGGCCGACTCCTAGTAAATCCCACCTCAAGGAAACGCTAGTTCGGTTCTGCAGTTCAGTCTATGCGGGGAAGATAATAGAGCAGCAGCCAGGCAGCTCTCTGAACACTTTCAGGAGAAGATTGCCCTTAAAAACAGCGTGCACTGTTCCGTGGAAGTTGCTACCCAGTTTCCTTCAGCCTAGATCCCCATAGTTGTGAGGCCTGGCTCTGTAGCCAGCGGCCCGTCACCTTCCAACCGGCCTGTATTTGTTTTAAAGACCAAGAGAGAAGGGGAACAAGTTTTGCAGATGCACCCGATTTGAGCATTAGACAAAGGCGGGTGCCGGGCTGTGTCTAAATGTACACACCAGCTCGGAGTTCGAACAGCCAAGGGGAGCTCAGGGCCTGTTTGCAAAGCCTTCTCGTAGTTTCTGTTTCCCTGCTGCCGGCGTCCTTCCTGAGGAACCTGGGCCTGTGCTCCGCTCCAGCTCTGTGGGTTTTTTCCCAGGCCCTCCTTGCTGTCCCCAGGCACACAGGCCCTCCTGAGGACAGCGGCAGCACAGCCTCTGGCTCAGGCCAGCCCAGCAAGGGCCTTGTCCGTGCTGGGCTTCACCTGGGAACCTACGTTCAGAGGCTTCTGCAGGGAGTTGCTTGTGAGGGGAGGCAGTGGGGAGGGCAAGTGAGGGCCAATCCTTGTGTTGTCCTGAAGGGCCCCATGGCCACTACTCCTGCGCCATCATGTGGGGGCTGCCCATGGCCTACACCCGTCCAGGTACCACAGAATGTCCTTTCAAGAGCCCTGATCGGTTACTGAGCCAGGGTCCAAAGCGGGGGAGATTTGAGGAATGGGAAAGACATAAGCTGAGTCCACCCTGGGTAGCTGCGTCTTGGGGTTATGTGTCTTAAGGGGAGCAGAAGCTTGCCTGTGCCCTGAGGAAGGTGGGGAGACTCTTTCATGGGGCCATGATAGAGTGGGGCCCTGAGTGTCAGGGGAGTGAGGGCTCTGGGCCCTCGCCTCACTGAGGGGATTGGGTAACAGCCGAAGACCCAGCTAAAAGGGCAGTGAGTACGCCTGGAAATCACACGGGACTACCCGGTTTCACTTTGTTGGAGCCGGGAGCTGCTTTCATCAGTTTGGGGAGGCTCTGCTAAGGGCGCATGTTAGGCACCCTGCTGCCGGCCGATTCTGGGACCAAGAGGCCAAAAAGTCAGCAAGGGCGAGGTCGGCTTTATGCAGTCCAAGGTTGCCGAAGGTGGGGTCTCCAGCGCTGGGCCTGCCATTTCTGTGTCCAGGAACGGCCCAGGAAGCTCCACTGCTGTGCCGAGCTCCCAGTTGAGTAGGGGCCTGCTCAGATTAGAGCAGCTAAGCCAGGAGAGATGGAGCCCAAGGGTTGGGATGACACAGCAGCCCCCAGAGGCTGGAGGGAAGGGCCAAGCAGAGGGGCTGCTAGCCCCAGGCAGGTTAAGGGGGGCTGCCTTCCACCAGCTGGGGTGACCCGAGGCCTCATCACCCCCAGGCGGATGTTCCCCACCTTCCAAGTGAAGCTCTTCGGCATGGATCCCATGGCCGACTATATGCTGCTCATGGACTTTGTGCCGGTGGATGATAAGCGCTACCGGTGAGCGAGCGGTTGTGAGCGTAAGGGACCTGGGAGGGCACCCTGGAAAGTGGCAGGTCTCTGCCTGGTGACCCAACTCCAAGGGTCGTCTGCACCATGAAACTCTTCAGGCACCTGCGATGCTGCCCGATCAACCCGCTCCCTCCTCCACTTCCATCTGACCCCAGACGGACAATCCCACTCCATGTGCTCTCAGAACCCGCCTCTGGGAGCCCCTTGAGCCGCAGGCTGCAGACAGCTCTTGCGCCCCTGGGCTGGTGTGGCCCCAGGGTGGTCACTCAAGTACCCAGCCCCGGACTTCTTAAAGTCTCCGTCTCCCAGGAGGCCGGCCTGAGTGCCTAGTTCCCTTCCCCCATCCCCAGGCAACTCTGGGTCCTGGAGCTGGGCCGGAAAGGTGGGGTGGCCGGGAGAGATTATGCAGGGCGGGCCTCAGCTGCCTGGACAATTAACAGCAATTAATAAAGAGAATGAGCACTGCCCTGTGCCTGAGGCCCGGCAAGACCAAGTGTGGGCTCCCACCGCAGCGGCACCGGGCAGGAGGACCCGCATCCAGCGAAATGAGATGGTGGGAGCGCTCAGTGCCCCACGGGGTGTCCAGTTCCTTAATTGTTTTGAGTGTTGGGGTGGGTGGAAGTTCTCTGTTTAGTCCATAGGCCCCCTCGGAAAAGCTCCCAGCATGTGTGGCAGCAGAGGGTTCAATCTCACAGGCGGGGAAACTTCTCAGAGGCATTTTTAGGGTTCATCCAGCACAGCGGTCAAGGCCCTCTGGGTTCACCTCCACATGCACAACCCTGCCCCGTGCCGCTCCAGGTACGCCTTCCACAGCTCCTCTTGGCTGGTGGCAGGGAAGGCTGACCCTGCCACGCCAGGCCGCGTGCACTACCACCCCGACTCGCCTGCCAAGGGCGCACAGTGGATGAAACAAATCGTGTCCTTCGACAAGCTCAAGCTGACCAACAACCTACTGGACGACAACGGCCACGTGAGCGACCGCCTCCCCAGGCTCCCGGTGTCCCACAAGCAAGGCCTCGTGTCCCCAGGCACCCGCCTGTCCCTAAGAGGCCTATAGAGTCCCCAGGCCCTCGGCTGTCTCCAGGAGGCTCTGGGCTGCCCCTGAGGAGGCCCTTTAGAGTCCCTGCGAGGCCAGAGGCTGAGGCAGAGCTTGGGCAGCACTGGCGTGCCAATGAGGAGAGCAGCCTCTGGTCAGGGGTCACACAGCCTAGTGGACCTAGGCCCTGGGAGAGGGGTCGCCCTCCTTCTCTCACCCCACTCCTGATTTTATGCAGGAACCTTTTTTAATGGAAAGGATGGGGCCGTGCAAGGGGGCTGGGGAAAGGCTTTATGGAGTCCAGGGCAGCGAGGCCGCTGGGCAGGCACCACAGAACCTAAACCCAGATCTTTTGCCGCTTGGAGCTCATTCCTGGCAGTTGCCAGTGGGTCACAGCCTCCTCTTGGCCCAGTGACCCAGCCTCATCTTGGAATTAAGGGTTTTGCCCAACTTATCCAGGAAACTCATTGCCAACTCAGACCTCAGCCCGTTTCCTGGCTCCCACCCCAGATCCTCAGCCCAGCCCCACCACTAGAGCTGATTCCCCACCTTGTCTTCCAGATTATTCTGAATTCCATGCACAGATACCAGCCCCGCTTCCACGTCGTCTATGTGGACCCGCGCAAAGATAGCGAGAAATATGCCGAGGAGAACTTTAAAACCTTTGTGTTTGAGGAGACGCGATTCACGGCGGTCACTGCCTACCAGAACCATCGGGTGAGGGCCTGCGGGGAGGACCTGAGCAGATTCAATGCCTCTGGGGAAGCGGGTGTAATTTTCAGTTGCCGTTTAGGGACAGTAGGTTCGCTTAGACCTGCAGGCTGTGGTCCCAGTGGAGCCCAACCCAACTGGAGCCCCACTCCCAAGGGCCTCAAGCAGCCCCGTCCCTCCAGAGGCTGGCTGGCCCAGCCTCCTATCAGCTTGACCTCCAGCGGCAACTGTCCTGAAAGTTTGTTTTCCGAACCATTCCGGAAACTCCCCATCAGGGGCCTGATCTGAGGTGTACCCAGATTCCTAGGAAACCCGCTCTGTTCCCCCCGCCCCGCACCGCGCTGCACAGGGAGGGGGGCGGTGACCACATTCCCGTCCCAGTCAGGGGCATAGGGTCTCCATCCCCATCCACTTGGGGGACACCAGAGAGGGGTTCCCTAGTGAGAGAGGAGGTTCCTCAGACCCCCGCCCCCTGCAGGAGGGAGCACCAGCTCCGTAGAGGAGAGGCAGATGTGGGCTG